CCTCCAAAGTATGTTCTTGTAAGAAGCTATTTATCATTATGCCTTATGAAAACGCCACCCATCCCTGCATCCTCTTCTCTCCCACTTTTATAATATCTTTGTCTTTGTGTGTGCGGGCGTCGGTGCGGGCTGGAGCTTGAACTCAGGGTGTAGGCACACTGTCCCTTAGTTTTTACACTAGTGCTCTACTACTTGAGCCACAGCTCTACTTCTGGCTTTTGGTGGTTAATGGGAGTTAAGAATCTCATAGATTTTTCCTACTCAGGCTGGTTTTGAACCTTTATCCACAGATCTCAGCCTCCTGAATAGCTAGGGTTACAGGACTGAGCCACTAGTGCCAAGCTCCATGTCTTTATCTTAAGGAGAAAAAAAAAAAGCAAACACCTGACAACAACCAGGATCATGAGTTAAAGATCCATTGGTTCTTTAGTTGACCCACTTGGTTCTATTCCTTGATAGCAAGTTCCCTTTTCTTTTCGCCTTTCCCCAGTTCATGATCCAGGCTACATACTGGGCTGAGAGGCAAGGGAGAGGCCAGGTGCAGGCTAGACTGGAGAGTAGAGAACAGAGGAACACACTCTTGGCCCTTCTTGACTATAAGTAGGTACATACCCCCGCTCCTATACTGCCCATCTCAGCAGCAGGGTTTACAGCTGGGCATTCTGTCACCCTCCTTGTCCCATCTGTTGTCCCTTTGGACCATGTGATGATGGGTGATGTGCAGAGGCAGAGTTTCTGTTCCCCTTGGGTACTTCCGGCTTTCTCTTTCCATTCCCATTTTCATAGCTGCTCTGGGTGCTCCTCACACTGGGTTTTAGCTGTGAAAGGATGGGGTGCAGGGAAGGGTTCTGCCTGTGGGGGAGCAAAGCCGTGGTTCCACAGGATGTCCTCACACAGTGCGTTACCATGAACACTTCCTTAGAGAAGAATATTTTCCCCCTTTGGCTCAGCCCTTAGCATGTTCAAAGAGGGATAAGATAGAAGAGATGATGGAGGTTAGCAGGTGTACAATTGTTTTGTTTTGTTTGAGATGGGGGAAATCTCTATGTAGCACGGTCTAGCCTTGAACACACAATCTTCCTCACTCAGCTTTTCAAGTGCTGGGATTATAGACATGCATTACCATGTCCAACTGTCAGGTTACAGTTTTGAAATCACTTGAACTCAGGGTGTCTTGTTTTCATTTGGCTTTTTTTGCTCTCCTGCTAGAGCCACAGCTCCACTTCTAGCTTTTTGCTGGCTAATTGGAGATAAGAGTCTCATGGATTTTTCTACTTGGATTGGTTTCAAACTGTAATCTCATGTAATCTTCCTTTTTAAAGGCAGTCTGAGCTTCATTTTTAAATGATGCCCTTAAACACATCTGCGTGAGGTAAAACTATATACAAAGGAAAGCAAGGGGCAGGTACATAGGGATCAGATAATTAATGTCAAGAGAGAGGTGGGAGATGGGTGAGGGAACCATCTTGCTATATGTTGATGTCAAGGTCTTGGTTTTGGGTTTGGATAGTGAATCCATGGGCACCTATTGCATTATTTAAAATAACTAGTAACAAAATAAAAGTGGAGGTGCATAGACTAATGATCCCATTACAAAGGTGTGGCATGAATTGAGGATTATGACTAATCCAGTTCTGTGTAGCAGAGGATTTAAATTGCCTTTTGTGTACTATATTGAATGTATCTATGTTTGCATGTCAACAAAATAATTCTTTTAAAAAGTTAATAAAATAATACTTCTTAAGCTAGATACTTGTAACTCATGCCTATTATTCTAGCCTCTCAGGATGCTGAGATCTGAGGATCATGAGTTTGAGGCTAGCCTAAACAGAAAATCAGTGAGATTCTTATCTCCAAGTAACCAAAAAAAAAGTGAGTGACTCAAGTGGAAAAGCACCAACCTTGAGCAAAAAAGGTAAGGGACAGTGCCCAGGCCTTAGATTCAAGTCCCAGCACACATAGACACAGACACACAGACACCCACATACACAAATAGTACTTTCTATTTGCTTAGATTTTATACTTTTCTCATACTTTTTTGTACATGTAAAAACCCACTCTCCTACTGAGCCCAACTCCCAACTTTTGAAGAACTTTTACAATCTGATTACTGTTTATTAGGTAGTTCATTGCAGAGAACAGAATGGGTATTAGACAGATAGGACTTTGGACTTCTTCTATTCTATAGAGACATATTTCATCTTATTTCCACAGAAGCCCTATAAGATAAGTAGAGCTGATGCTATTATCATAGACCAGAAAGAAGGAACTGGCAAGGGGCTTTGGTAGCCAGCATCAGAAGAGAACTTAAGACTCTGGGTTTCTTGTGGAATATCTCTTTTGGACCATCCATTCCTCAGCTATTCATCCATGAGAGATATATATTGTGCCTAAAACTTTGTGCTATGTTTATGTGTTTTCTGGGTACTGGGTGTTTGGTCTATGTAAATTTCTCTGCACTGTGTTTTTATCCTTAGAGTCTTCTAGGCCCACATGTCCCTATTCCTTAGAAGGAGCCCCTCTGCTGGCTTTCAGTGGTCCTGTTATATTCCTAGGCCTTCAAAACCCAGCATCTCTCTACAGCTTGGTGAGAAGGCAGCTTGCTATCAGGGACAGGTCCCTAGGCAGTGGGCCCAGATTGGAAGACAAGGAAGCAATGTCTGAGTAATGGTGATATTTAACATTTCACAATGATTTGCAGATGCTTTGTGAAGAGTTCTCATGGATATTATCTTATTTCATTTTCACCTGGTCCTGAAAGGAGATCTGATTATTCTTTCCCTCTCCCTACCCCCCCTCTCTCTCAAGTGGCTGGCTCAAGGAGATGTAGATTCTACTCATTCATCTCTAGATTCTGTTTTCTAGTTGGCTTTGCTGTTTCTAAAAGGACCAGCTCAGAGCTCAGCACAGCCTGGCTTCTTTCCACCTGAGCGAGGCCTGAGTAGTTGGGTCTTCCTCCTCCTCCTCCTCCTCTTTCTCCTCTTCCTTCCTGTCTTCCTTCTTCAGCCCTTGGTCATCTCTGTATGGGCTTCTGGAGGTGATAGCAATCCTACAGAACAGGAAAAGTGCTGGTAGTTTCCATTAGCTGTGGTCTCGGCATCAAGACTTTGAAAGAGTCAGGGGAATCCCAGAGCTGTCTCACCACTGATTCTCTAGCCTAGATGGAATCTCCAAGCTTGCAGGCTGCAGACAGAAATGAATTCCTCTGCCTTTCTGCTCGGAGGTCTATGTCTACCACACTCCTGATCTATTAGAGGAACAGTTTCTCTTCTTGGTCCATTGACTGAGTTGAGCCCAGCTGGTCCCTGGAGGTGCAAGACTGGGAGAGTAACTCCATCTTCATGTTTCATTCCATTGTCTTATTTCACTTCTCAGAGCTGGGAGGGGGGCAGCAGAGATGTGTTCACTTATCAACTTCTGCCTCATCAGAACGTGCGAGTATAGAGACTGACTGCTTATGGTCGCTCCCTGATCCTGGCTGTGCTACTGGGTCTACTTAGATCCTTTGGTATCTCCCTTAGAGACAAGGGTTAACCAAGACCGAAACTAGGTTTCTTTCTTTTTTCAAAATAACCACTCTTCTTAAGAATGTAGGTTCAGGGACTAATTTTTCCTCACTAGAAACCAGAAGCTTGTGAAAGAGATAGTTGAAGGAATGGAGAAGGCTCCGGGGTAGTCTTCCAATCTCAATTTCCTTCCTTCCCTCCCTCCCTTCCTTCCTTCCTTCCTTCCCTCCTTCCTCTTCCAGGTTGGACTCCAATGTGCCATCCTCCTGCTTCGTCTCAGCAGTAGCGGGGATTACAGGCATTCAACAGTGTATATGCCTGTCTAGCCAGTCTCAATCCTAATTAATCCTCTTTCCACCGTGTGTCTTTTTTTTTTCAGTTTCTTTACATAAAAAATACGTCAAAGGCTGATTACTAAATTGACGCAGACACAAATCTTTGAAAGAAAAAAAAAAGCGCCAGTAACTTCATGAGAACAATGTGATCCCCGTGAAGAAGTCACAGAAGAAGCATTGCCCGACTCGTGTCCCTGGGGTGAATAAACTCCATCCACCTCGCCCCCCCCCCCCCCCCCCCGTCTCATCTAGCGGGATTCTTCCCAGACCACCATCTCCTTAAAAAAACACACCTCACCGCTGCGATCTCCAAACGTGACAACTAGAGCGCAAACATCAGATAGCTGGAGAGGCAGTAGATCTTTCGATCCGAAACCTTCAGCCGCTTTCACTCGCCGCCCCCCCCCCTTTCCTTTCGAGCGGCCTCGGCCAAAGAAACGGAAACTCTCCGTCCTCTCCAAACCCGAGGGACCCCAGCCCCAGGCTACCTACCTAGCCCGCGTTTTTCTCCCTCCTCCCGACCTCCTCCCCTTTAAGGCGCGCCCCTCCCCCCAGCCCACGCCTCCCGAAGCCCCGCCCCCTGACCCTCCCCTTTAAGGACCGGCCCCGGACGCAGACGAGCCCGTGACGCGGCCGCCGGCCCCGGGGCTGGGTACTTTGTAGCGCGGCCGCTTCCCCCGGGCCGGGCCCCGCCGTCCCGCGTCCCCCGAGCGCCAGGCCCCCCGGGGGGGGAGGGAGGGAGGGAGGGAGGGAAGGTAGGAAGGAGGAGGCAGGGCCGGTGGGCGCTGG